ATTAAAACTTTAAAGTAATTAAATGGCTTGGTTTCCCTTTGGTCATTGTTACGATAAAGTAAAAGAAGGTCCTCCTGGTAATGGTTTCAAATTAACATATGATGGAAATTATGATATGCAAAATAAGATCTTAAAATATTGTGAACATCCAATAGATAAAAACGATGCTGCAACTAAGGAATATATTGATAATAAATTAAAAATAATCATTGAATTAAATAATAATTTTCAAGATTTTGCTAAAGAAAATGCTAATAAATTAAAAATATTAGAAGAAGATCACATAACAGATAAAACTAATTCTGAAAAAAATATTAAAGAATTAAATTTAAACGTAAATAATTTCATAACAGAAACGATTAAAAAACTTCAGACATTAGATAGTAGATGTCTGAAAATATATAATGGCGCTTTCAATGCAAGAAACAAAAGAATTGGTAATGTCGATGATCCAACGGAAGACAAAAATGTTGTGAATGAAAGATATTTATAGAATAATGCTTTAACCATAAATGATGATGATGTGTTTGATGCAAAAAAATAAACAAAATAACTAATTTAAAAAATTCAAATAATGACACGGATGCAGTTTCAAAATCGTATCTCGCAAATTATTTTAAAATGAACCATTCATTCATCTTAAGAGGTTTTCTGTATTTACCTAAACCAGCTAAAGATGTAGAATTTTATTTAACCTTGGGCGATGTTCCTATTAATGATAGTATGAAAAATTACGATAGATAATATGTGTCAGAATCTAATGGTTTCATTAGTAAGATTTATTTTACATGTAATTTAGCAATATCTTGTTTATCTGTAGGTATATTTATTAATGAAAAATTAGCATTTTCTTTAAAAAAAAGAGAAAGAAAAAACTTATATAGTCATAAATGAAACTATTCCATTNGTTGCAATGTATAGAAATATATCCTAGTTTCATAAATATTTCTATTATAATCAAATTTATACTGTGATAATATCAATAATGTGTACCTTTATTATGATTTGGTAAACATTCCATCGAACCATAGAAGAGAGATGTCTCTGCTATATTTTCAGCAATAGGCTCACATAACAACACTTCAGTTGCTGGCTCAATCTCGAAAGCTACCGATGATGGCCTATAAGTTGGCACTTGTGCCGACGATGCGTTGTTTGATTCATCCGTCATCTGTATTTCTTTTGACCAAGAACTAGGCCTATTTTTAAACAATGGAATAAACGACGCATATCCACCCACATCTTGCACTGGCCCATATTGATAGANTCATAAATGAAACTATTCCATTCAATGTAAGAGATATAATTACAGTTAAAACTATAGAAAAATATCCATCCCATAAGAAAGCGGATGATGTTGAGAATTTCTTACAAAAAAGTTTAAAATATACTATTTCAATATTTATAAATTATACCGATTAATTTTTTTTCCTACATAAATGGAGACGTTGAAAAAAATAAACAATATTGGTAAACTTCAAAATACTCCAACGAGAAAATTAAACGAGTTGGAAATTGATTACGAATATCCAATTGATTATATTAAAACAATACCACTCGCTTTGGTGATAAAAAATTAGTAGTCCTTAGGGACACTGAATGGAATGAATTTCAAGCTTTTCTACCTGATCGATTCAATAAAAAATTAGAGAATGAAGATTTAGATGAGATGAGTAATTTTAAATTTGTATACAGAGGTATGAGAGATTGTGGGAATATGTATAAAGCTCATATTATTGAGTTTGTTTGACTTTTTGTAATAAATCACAATTATTAAAATTATATTAAATAACGCCAACAAAAAGAAATTGATTACGAATATCCAGTATGACAATCGTGGTTTTTCTACCAGATCGATTTAATAAACATCTAACTGAAAAGGTTATTAATGCACTAAACAATCGAATAGATTTAAAATTTGTGTACACAGGCATGAGAGGGCCGAATAAAGCTCATAATTAGTTTTTTTTTTATATTTACTTTTAAACATGTGGAGGATTTAACTGAATTTATTTTTAGGACGAAATAAGTAAATGCCATTTTTTAGACTTTAAAATTTCTTAACTTTTTTAACTGAATTTTTAAACATTTATCCAAATTTTCATCTTTTTAAATTTTTGGGGGAGAACTCTCATTTATATACTACTCTCCGAGCAAGATAATAACAACTTATACAGATAGCACCACAGCGATCCAATCAATTTACAGCCTCAAGAATAGAAAGGAAAAAATCGTTAAAATTCACAAACTTATCATGACTAACAGCCATAACCATAACATTTTATTCAACTGGGTGCGTGGACATTCCAGTATCTCCGGAAATAAAGCTGCTGACGCTCTTGCGAAAAAGGCAGCCAACTCTCAACTTATACCCACGTATACGAGAATCTTATTATCAACGATAAAGAATTGGAACTTCAACGTGCAGTAAAACAGTGACAGGAAGAATGGGACAGTTGCACTACCGGTAAACAAACCGACAGTTTCATACCAAATATTGTTTATCGCCTTGAATGGAGAAACTTCACCTCATCCTTTGCCATGACTCAGATCTTAACTGGTCATGGCAATTTTAATACCTATCTTAAGAGATTCTATATTCGTGACTCCAAAGAGTGCTACTGTGACAACGTCTCTCGACAGGACACTAATCACTTCCTATTTGACTGTGCTCTCATCAACACAGAAAAAACAAATCTCATAATGTGTGTGCTATACGAAAGATTCAATTGGCCTTGTTCACTGTACACCCTCATAGACAATAAAAACATTTACAAGGCTCTTGAAAAATTCTTCAACGAAACCAAGGCTCTTTTCCCTCCAAGGGATCTTCAAGATAACAGAAACGATGATGAAAACTAAGGCTTCAGCTGTGAAACTGTAAGTGTTAAACGGGATGCGGCCTGGTAACATTTATTTTATAATTGTTAGTAAACGGTGTGTGTAGTGTAAACAAACTGTTGATTTTGGCAAGCATATAATTTTTTCTACCTTATAATTAGTGGTTTATGTCGTTAATGCTTTCCAATCAATATGTATATCATTAATTTTAACGTTAACTAAATGGTTGTTGCACGGTAAATTAGAAATATGTTATAAAATCCAGAATTGTGTAGTCGGTCACTAACCACTTCTGGAATAGTCTTAATACCCCAATCGGAAGTATCATATATAATATACTTTGTATCTATGTTTTCATTTTCCTTATGTACATAACCATTCCTGATATTCTCATTATTTTGTCACCCTAGTTCGGTGAATTATTTCACTTATTTTGTAATAATGTAGTCGTGATTTCTTTTTGTATTTGAACAAACAAGTGGTTTGGTCCTCACCAGTCTGGTGCATCTACATATTTATTGTAAATACGTTATAATATTCTCTATTTATATTTGTTCAAACTACATTAGATATTGTTTGTTGTCACCTGTTACGTGCATCCTGTATATAATTTGTACATATGTTTTCTGTTTTATATTTAATAAACTACCGATGCAGTGCCCTATTATCCTATCACCATCCTGTTCTCATTTTCATCACTTGCTTTTTTCACTCTCCCACTTCTTTCACCATCTTTTCAACCTCCAGGTCGTATCTTTGAGTGGAACCAGGAGGCAGTCCCTTCTTTAAACTAGTAGCCTGTCACCTTATCTCCACGCCAATCGGCTAATTTTCGATTCTAGAAAATGTCCGATTCTCTAAATGCCGAATTTTAATAATCGAAATTTATATTATTTGAATAAAGTAATTTTAATTCTGAATTACTTCCGTGTAATAAACATATCTCCTGTAAAAGTCTTCGTTCAGCTGTAAGGTGTGCTATTTAATAATAAGTACTGTACATCCGGTATATAAAATATATTTCAGATGGCGAAATGGATAGTGGTCGAATTTCATTTTAATTATTACATTGTGCTTTAATATTTATACACAAAGCTTTCTGATATAAACAGTATAATCATTTATTTGAAAATTAGTTTCTTCATATGTTCAATAATTTTATAATCGATTTTGAATAATGAACAAAAACTGTAATTTACAAAGGTATCTATGAAAGATAATAACCAGAATATCGTCATTTGTTTACGATTAGTTTCAAATCTCTCGTTAACTCGATCGACAGTTGAAGAAAATACCGAGGAAGTTTTTCCATTTTTCAATTATTTAAGTTTTCGAGTCAATCGTGTTATCATATTGCTTTTCATTTTCCTATACTGACCTGATCAGGAATATCCACCTATTTTCCATAGGAATAAAACCTGGTACTGCCATAGATGACTTCTCAGTTTTCCTACAAAGAAAACTAGATACATTTCTAGCTAGTGGATATGTTTTTAGAATCTTCTTTTTTTTCAAAAAAGAACATAATAGCTTTCCTTCGCAGTACTAAGAGCTAAATCAATCGAAACCATCACGAAACCTGTAGCCATTGATTGTTTAAAAAAATTTCTCTTCTTTCTTGTATGAGCAACCATCAGACCTAATCTCACTTTCTTTCACTGATTAGAATGCTTTCTGCAATATCTTTCCGGGTCATGTAATTTTACGATAGATATATACGCATTTACTTAACTAGCTTTTACACTTTATAGTAGCCACAGTCGCTGTTTTCCTTCGGTTGTTTTCTGTTGCCGCAAATGTGAACAGATTACAAATTGTTATTGTAAAAGCAAAAGTGAAAATTTGAACTAACATTTGCAACAGCATTTTCAGCAAAAAGTGTTTATCAAATTGGAAATTTAACTTGTTAAAATCATATCTTAATAAAGAAACATATAAAGATAACAGAATGAAAACAGAACAAAAAATTAAAAACAGAAGAGACTATTGTAATTTGAAAGCATCAAAATTATTAAACATTTTTGTCTTTTTCAAGAGAAACATCGTCTTTGTGAAATAAAATGTCACCTACAAATTAAACAATAAAAATAAATTGTTAATTTGAAAACAACTTTAGATTTCTGAATGTTTAATGAAGCAATTTACGCATTTTTAGAGCAACTCTCAATTCGATAACGCTACCTAAATATCTATCTGTACACTTCACGGATTTTACTGTATTTATAAAGAGATTTGAAATATTTTTTTATGTGAAATATATTTTTTTAATACATTTACGAAGAGCAACATACTTTAAACAAATTCCTCACATTCCGGATACCAGGTGCAGTACAAGTAAATTCTCCTTTTTGGACAGCTGATGCTAATTCTTCGAACGTTTTCGGCAATGACTGTTTTTCCTTGTTAATCATAAATGAAGTTAACGTTCCACCATAAGCCCAACATATGATCAAAACGGGAAGCATCCAGAAGACCAAGGCCACTCTGGAGGGTGAGCGTCTAGCGACTTTCAAATCGGCTCCTGAAATAAAAACGAAATAAATAATGTACACCAAATACAGTCTTTAAATAAAAGTATTCTCTTGTGATATGTTGATACTTACCTTGATTGAGAAAAGTTCCGAACAGAAACCAAACGAATCTTCTTTTATTCCAACCCTTGTTCTTGTCTTCTGTTAATTTGTCGTAACTGAGTATTATAAATATGAGTATTCCAGCCACCAAAGTACAGAAGAAAATGGCCAGCCACACCTTTATATGAAAGGTTTTTCTGTGTTTGAAATAAGATTTAAAATTTGGTATGAATTAAATTTTTAAGCGTTACTTACCCAAAAAGAGAAAGGAGAAATTAGTGATTTCCAGGAAAGTTCTAAATTCTTGTTTTTAATGACGAATTGCATAGGGAAGAACGTGTTAATTGGAGTAAACTCCACGACGTGACTCATATCAGCATTAACTAACTGCTGCTGGTCGCTGATGTCGGCGTCCTGATAAAACGAAATATTGATATTTTTCGAAGTGATAATGATGATGTTTCTGTTAATGCATTCGTGAAGAGCAAATAAAAATAATTTAGATTTGACGAGAAAATGTTTATTTTAACATTGTCACAATGCGAAGCTGCAAATATTTATCATTCTCTTTGATTTTGTTTTAATGTAAAATATAGGCTTTCTACGTTGAAATCAGTACAGTGTTGCTCCTGTACAATGTCCTTTAGCAATCCCGTCGTACCATTTATTGACTTTTTTTCATAAAAAATTTTTGAACTGGAATAATGTGACTTTCGAGAAATACTACAGTTTTCTCTTACATTACAAGACACAATCTCCGACATCTGGCTACGTGTACTGTTTTCGTTTAAATTTTATTTCTGAAAAGAGCATAAAAATCCTTTCATAGGAATGTCAGTAATCGGTGAAACATATCTTCGAGTAAACAAATTGTATGACAAGAGCCTTTAAACATATACATTTCCTACCAAAGGTGTTAACATGCACAGAGAAGGAATAGAGAAAGATTTCTTACTTATGCGCTCTTGTAATATTTTGTACTCCTAATTGAAAATTTCATTTTATCGTTGTAATGCTTTTTTCGATAAATATAAAACTATCTTAAAATAAATCAATTACAATTGACACAAAAAGTAGCACACTATTCTATTAAATAATGCATTTATTTACTTGTGAATAACTGTCACGCTCAGCATGTAAATATACTAACGAGTTAAAGAAATTTAACATAATATATATATTTTTTAATTTCAGGAAAATGTAAAATTATTTTTTTCGTTAAAACACGACAAATTATTTTTTTCGTTTAAAATTTATAAATCAGTAATAAAAATAAATGTAAGAAATTAAATTTAGTTTTTTTCGCACAATATAAAGATTGGCATTAATAATTTCCCCCCTTCTTAAAAGTGGAAATAAAACGCTATTTAATAATAAACTGGCTATAATTTATTATTATTACTTTTTTCTTTCGATAAAGTTAATGTAAGTGTTTTGATTAGGTTAGACTAAAACACATAAATTATAAAATATATTAAACTTCATGCAAATACGAATTGTTTAACATACCCCATTTTTTACTTGGTCCAAAGAATAAACCAAGTGAGTTGTATTCAGTTTGGTAAATTCACATCTAAATTAGAAAATGAAAATTAATTTAATATATAAGTGTAACATTTTATAAATGTCACTAATAAGAATCGATAAATTACGTAAAATTATTTTCAAAAAATAAGACAAATAAGTGTGATAATCCTGTTTACTGTTTTCCAATGTTAATTTCTTTTTATTTTCATAGTTACTCGAATAACAATTTAATTCGTTGGAATGTGCCGAAAGATTATTATTGATATCGAATGATTTTGGGAACTTACGTCAATGATTTATAGTTTAGTTTACAGTAATATTAATATGTTGATTATATAAAAGTGATATTTCAAGTTAAAAGACGAGAGATAAGCACTTCATTTTACTGAAAGACCATGAGTCATGACATTTTAGAGAGAATGGAAACGCATAACAGTTTCAAATTCGATTTTATAACCGGAATTTTGGATTATTACACTCGTGATACTTTAGTTTATTAATTTTAAAAAAATAACAAGAATAGCTATTACACTAGGTTCGACATACGAAAAATTTCTTTATTTCGAAAGAATCTTACTATTCTATTGATATAACGAACGGGTTTTGATCAATCGAATATTGTTTAAAAACACTATTTTACTATCTCTTCTAATTTGTCTGTTAAGTAACACTACCTTAGACTGTTAGGAAATGTTACTATAATTAACGTATAATTAACGTATAATTAACGTCCTCTACACTGCAAAGTGTTTAAAAAGAACAAGAAATCAATTCTAATTCTAATAAAGTTAGCTTTTCTTTTTTCGGGTTAAATATATTACAAAAAATCTGTATATAAACGAAAACGAACAATTATATTATTCTGCACTAAACATTTATAATTGGTTTTGTTTTCGAAACTTTTTATGTTGACGAATATACTAATATATAGGCTATATAACATCTATATTTGAAAAGAATAATTTCTATGTTAATTAATATAGCTGTTGTATGTATTACTGAATTAAGTACTATTATGGTTATTGATTACTTAAACAGATTCTATATTATAAGGAGATTGTTTTTCATTTCTTACCTTAATTTCTTGTACTTACAGAGGGTGGAAAACGGAAATGCTATATGTTTATGAATTACTTCATTCGGAGAAATTGGATAATCACTCGTAAAATACTAAAAACATAAGAATTCATTAAGAACGTTAAATAATAATTATTTAATGATAAAAAAATTATACGAACAAGAGGTGTGGAAAACTTTATCACGTCTTCTTTGGATGGTTCTGAGAAAATAAAAAGTATCTTGAAGGTTATAAACTGGAGTTGTTTCAATATATAAAAAAGTTCCTAAATATAAATGTATTCACGACTAAAACAACACAAATTTAACCTAAAATTATAACTATATTACTACTTCGAAAAACTCGAGACAATGTACTCGAAGTAGTTAGCCTGGGCGAGTAGTTTGAGCAGTAATATGTCACAAATGAAAATGATTTGTTGCTGAGAAAAGAAGAAAAGTGACGGAAAGTAGATAAAGTAAAATTAAACAAAACTAAAAAATAAGTAAATAATAATAATAATAATAAAATAAAATCAGATGGAATTTAATCGGGAAAGGTGTTGGATAAATTAAAGTCTTTCGTTAAAATTATCTGCATTTGAGATTTTGTCTTGTCTGGAATGAAAGAACTTTGTCTCAAACATTACGTCAATGAGTTGCTTGACACGATTAAAAAACATATATTTGTAATAGTTACATAAAAGTTAAAACTGTGCGATGGGATCAGAAAATGGAGTTGAGCGTAATGGCTGACGTGGACGAAACGAAACGAAACGACAATTGGTTTAAATCGGTAGAGTCCGGGCATGTAGCTACAGCAGAGACAGTGGAAGAGCTAGGTAACGTGGTGCCATGTAGGGGATATGAAAGACGTAATCTAGTTCCTTTTTCATTGAACTATTCTACTTTTCAACCGAAATTCTCCACTTTCTGCAAAATTATGAATTCGCTTTGTATTGACAAAAACAGCACCCAAAAATGTCCAGATACTTTTTTGTTGTTAATTAAATTGGAAATGTCGACATTTTTGCGTTTTGAATATATAATAACAAATATCATAACAACGTTTACATGCTCAATTAATAAATATAACTAGTTAATTATATAAATTAATTTATAATTAAGAAAGAATTTGCGATTAAGTTATTTTCATTGCAATTGTAATTAGAATACGAGCGATTTATTATTTATTGTGACATCGTCACGAGGCTCTCGATTTTAGTGGTGTCTTGCCTCTGTACACCATAGTTTTCCCCTTAGAGTCATGCCTTTTATCTAACTCCTCTCACGGAAAAATTTTGAACTGAATTCACGTGATTTCTGGAGTAGACTGGAAGTTCGTATAAGGTTAATCGTGGTTTACTTCCATAACATTTCAATATCCCACTTTCGTTTATCTGTCTCCGTACTCCAGATTAAGGAAAAAAAAAACAGTTGAAATTCATGTCTATAATTTTTTTCAAATTACACCTTAATGACGTTAATTTTGTACAGTCAAGCACAAATTTTTGTGTATATCCTATTAATACATAAAACTCTCGCGTTATTTGAAGTCTTGCAAACTAGAGCCAGCCGCTTTAGACAAGAATTGGAAGCTCTAAATTGAGTTCTGATTGTACTGTATTAGAAAACTGAGTTTCATATGACTAAAAGCAAATATTGTGAATTTTCAGATAAAATTATGTGCAATACATGTTATTAAATTTTAAATAGTTTATAAAACTTGTGATATGTGACTTTTTAAAACGTATTAATGTTGCGATAAATGTATTAAACGTACATTTATCGAAAATTTCTGAAATTTTTCAGGGAGGATTGTTTATAAGAGGAATACTCGAAAACTTATCTCATAGCTTGTTTTCTTCTTAAAACTAAAAATATTTATATAATAATGCAAGTATTCTTCCAAGAAAAGTTATTACGCAGTATATTTTAGTACTACTAAAATAATTTTGCTTTTCTTATAGTTATAAGAAACTTATACAACCGCTTATTTAATTATTATATAACAATATTAATAAGTAAGTAACGCATCAAGTGAGTTCTTTCAAATAGAGAAAATACAGGTTGATAATTTTAGTATGTAGGTCGAGTGTATGCAAGAAATATTTGTAAAAATAATGATATGGAAACTAATTCGCTTTAAATGTTATTAATATAATACAATATAATATTTTCTTTTGTATGAAATTTAGAAGTTAAAAAGTCGATTGACTTCGGTACAATAAAGTTAAATTGTATTTATTTTATCATAGTTGAATGTTTAAAAGAAGAATCATCTATATAAATTTTAAGCATAATTTTTTCCTTTTTGTTTAAAACTTATTTATTAAGTTTTACAGTTTTATTTATAAAAATTATTTATGAATTTGTTTCTGTAAATGATGAGGAAAACAATGAAAAAATGTAATTTATTAAAAATGAACTAAAATATTTTGTATGAGAAACGTAATATTTATTTAGAATTTAATATGGTAATAAAGTAAACAATTATTTACTTTTTTACAGTAGATATATTTGTACTAAACTAAGTATCGTCGAATTATTTAAACATTTTCATAAGAATGATTTTTAATGCCTATTCTAATTTATTAAAATTATTTAGTTGAAATTATATACAGAAGAACAAATCGACGATAAGTAAACGTTATTCAAAACTTATCTTATAAAGAAATTAAAAAGCATAAATCCGAGTTATCCTACTTCAAAGAAAAGTGATTTAATTAAAGTTAGATAACTTTGCCATTGTTGCCGAAATTCATTAAACTCTGCAAGGATATGAAGCAACTATCTGGCATCGCAGTTTTAAAAACCAGAACCCAAAAATGTGAAAATAACTTTTTGTTATTTAGCGTCAAATATTAAATTTGTTTGGTTAAATCTTATCTGAAATTAATTACATTTTCCTAAAAATAATTTATGCACATTGCAGTGAACTGCTGAGCATTGTCACACTGAAATAATCAAAACCTAACGTTTGTGTTTCTTTTTTAAACTCGGAAAAGAAAGCGCAAACGTTACTCCAGTAGCCAGGACTTCGCCCAGGTAATAAAAATTAAAAATTAACAAGTCAGTCTATTGATTTTAGCATAATGATATAACAAAAATTTTACTTACTCGCTTCTATTAGCAAGAACTTAAAAGAAAGAATTGCTGTTAGTAAAACTTTACACTTCATTCTTATTTTATCACAAGTTGCATTCAGTTAAATGTTTCAATCTAAAATGTATTCAATAGCAGAAATAATTATAATTGCGCCCTGCAATATCGATTATTTTGAAAAAAGCCTAAGCCAGTGCGTGATAAATATTAATTTTTAAAATTTCAATTAATTTANTATTTAAATTAACAATATAAATTATTATTATTCATTTGGCCAATATAACAATATAAATAATTCAACATATTTGTAATAGGAATTTGTTATTTCAGGGGCTTATATCTCGCGAAGGGTCGCGAGTGGGGGTATGGTTTCTTTGACTTTATTGTTCGCACAGGGGCTATAGTTTGGGGGGTCGCCACCTCTTCATTCAGAGGATAAATCTTATCGTTGGGACTTTAACAGAGCTGTCGAGCATATTGATAGGAACAAAAAAGTCAAAAAAACCGTGCCTCATGGAAATTTGTAAAGAAAGCCCACTACGGGGCGTCCCAGGCTACTAGTAGTATAAAAACGATTGTTCTTGGAACAAGTGTCTTCTGTCCTGGTCCTGTCCGAGAAGAAGTAGATAGAAGACATAGGACTGTTCCAGCTTCCATATTCCAGAATGATCGTGGCATACCGTCATCTGACAGCATGTTGAGGTATATTTGAGGGCAGAAACCTTTGTAAACTTTCCCTCTCACTTTAAAGGTTCGGCACGCAGCATAGTGACTAGTTTGATGGCCTTTACTAGGGTTTCTCAAACGGGATTCCGGGATCCCGGTTTTTTTTTAACTCGGGAAATTTTTCTTATCCCGGGAAATCCCGCAAATTTCTTAAAAATTCATTTTTTTTCTTATTTTGCGTTAAGGTTGAGGAATTTTGCAAATAGAAAGCATAATTAACTCATTCACTGTCAGAATACATTTGTATTTATTAATTTTAAACCTACCTATTAGTTTTTTTT